GTTTCTTAGGTCAACGCCCCGACTATAATTGCAGCGAGCGGCCGTTGGCCCTGGCCCTTTGGAAGCGCCTCTGTGGCCGAAGGTTGCGGCCAGAGCTCGGCAAAGATATTGGACTACGTGTTCCCCCAGCCTTTGTGGAAACGCCTCGGGGAACACGAGAGGGAGAAAGAAGGAGGGACAAAAATGACGGAGGAGGAGGAGGAGGCGGAGGCGGAGGCAGGAGGAGGAGGAGAGCTAGGTCACGCTATCGGACTATGTGTTCCCCCAGCCTTTGTGGAAACATGTCGGGGAACAACTGTCGAAGAAGAACAAACACCATAAACATAAACTTTTGGCGCTCCGCGCTGATTTCTTGGATCCGCGCCAGGACCCCCCTGGCGGCGCCTCCGGCGCCGCCCCTGGCGCGAGGTCCAGCGCAGATCCAAGAAATCCGCGCGGAGCGCCAAAAGTTTATGTTTGTGGCGTGTTTTTGTTTTTTGAATGTGGGGAAACAAGAAAATGATTACAGGGAGGAAACATCAGGAGTAGGAGGAGGCCTCTTGGAAGCCGCTTGAGGCAATCTTTGGGCCTTCTGGGAGCTTCCTGGGGGCCTCTTGGAGGCCTCTTGGGGGCGTCCTTAGGCCTTTGGTGGGCCTTTTGGGACTCCTTGGGGTGCTCTTTGGCCGTCTGAGGGCGTTACTGGCCCGTCTGGCGCCGTCGCAAGCTGTCTTGGAGGCCTTTCTGGGCCCACTTGGAGCCCTCTTTCTGCTCTTCAGGGTCTTCTGAGAGGCCATCTTGGGCGCCTCGGAGGTCTCCCGGGCCGGCTTGAGGCCCTCTTGGAGCTATCTTGGGAGCTCTTGGGCCGTCTCTTGGGCGCCCTCAGGGCCATCTTTGTGGCCTGTGGGACCGTCCTGGTTCATCGGAAAGCCGAAACTGAGCCAACGCTCAAATCCAACAACAAACCAACATAATATGATACCAGAGAGAAGCCCCGATCATAACCTTGTTAGGGCTAGATCTATGGGGCTATAGGACCATAGGGCTATAGGGCTATAGGGCTATAGGGCTTTAGACCGATAGAGCTATAGGGCTCTAGTACTATAGTGCTATAGGGCTACAGGGCTATGGGACTATGGGGCTATAAGGCTATAACGGGTATAGGCATTTATTGTTATAAGGCGATTAAGTTACAGAGCTATTGGGCTATGGGGCTACAAGCTTACATGGTTATATGGTTATAGGTCTACAGAACTATAGGGCTAAGTATTGGGCTGTAGGGCTATTAGGGCTATAGGGCTACAGGGCTATAGGGTTACTAGGGCTAGAGAGCTATACGGCTATTAGGCTATTAGGCTATTAGGCTATAAGGCTATAGGGCTATAGGTATAGGGCTATAGGGCTACCGGGCACCCTGGCACATGGGGACCTGGGCACCTGGGCACCTGGGGCCCGGGCACCCGGGCACCCGGGCACCCATGCACCCGGGCACCCGGGCGTGCCGCCGAAGTCGGCGCCACAGCCCTTCTGACCATACGAATCTGCTAGGACCCCTACAGAGGCAAGCTCTGATTGGGGAATGAATGAGTTGGGCCTCTGCGAGCCTTCCTGGAGGTCCTTTGGCATGCCTCTCGGGCCGTCTTGGAGGCCTCTTGGGCCGCTTGGGTGATCTTGAGGCCGTCTTGGCCCATCTTAGAGGCTTCTCGGCCCGTCTTGGAGACATCTTGCGGCCACCTTGGGCTCTCCTGTGGCCGTCTTTGAGGCCATCTTAGCCATCTTGGAGGCCATATTGGAGCCATCTGGAGCGGACAAATCCTTGCCGACCGGGTCCTACGAGGCTTTCCGCGCGGCCGGCGGGTTTGGCCGAGACCCCATTGGGAACGTTTCGAAGAGCCAGAAACTACCTAACGTCTGGCACGCCGTGCGTCCTTGCGGCAAGCCAACAGGGGACGGTGGATCGAAGTCTTCTACGCCGAATCGCCGTCGCCCCTTGCCTTTGGAAGCGCTTATGTGGCCGAACGTTGCGGCCAGAGCTCGGTCAAGCTATCGGACTATGTGTTCCCCAAGCCGTTGTGGAAACCTACTCGTGGAGGAGACAGAAGAGGAGGAGAGGGAGGAAAAAGAAGGAGGACCAGGAGGAGGCCTCTTGGAAGCCGCTTGAGGCAATCTTTGGACTGCCTTAGAGCTTAGGCCTTTAGGGGGCCTTTTTGGGCTCCTTGGGGTGCTCTTTGGGCGTCTGAGGGCGTTACTGGCCCGTCTGGCGCCGTCGCATGCCGTCTTCAAGGCCTTTCTGGGCCCACTTGGAGCCCTCTTGGAGCGCTTCAGGGTCATCTGAGAGGCCATCTTGGGCGCCTCGGAGGTTTGGGCAATCTTGGGGGCCTCTTGGGCCGTCTCTTGGGCGCTCTCGGGGCCATCTTTGTGGCCTCTGGGACCGTCTTGGGTCATCGGAAAGCCGAAACTGAGCCAACGCCCAAATCCTTCAACAAACCAGCGGAATATGAATGATTTGGGCCTCTGCGAGCCTTCCTGGAGGTCCTCTTGCATGCCTCTCGGGCCGTCTTGGAGGCCTCTTGGGCCGTCTTGGGTGATCTTGAGGCCGTCTTGGCCCATCTTAGGGGCTTCTGCTTGGAGACATCTTGCGGCCACCTTGGGCTCTCCTGTGGTCACGGTAGCCATCTTTGAGGCCATCTTAGCCATCTTGGAAGCCATATTGGAGCCATCTGAAGCGGACACATCCTTGCCGACCGGGTCCTACGAGGCCTTCGCGCGGCCGGCGGGTTTGGCCGAGACCCCATTGGGAACGTTTCGAAGAGCCAGAAAGTACCTAACGTCTGGCACGCCGTGCGTCCTTGCGGCAAGCCAACAGGGGGCGGTGGATCGAAGTCTTCTACGCCGAATCGCCGTCGCCCCTTGCCTTTGGAAGCGCTTATGTGGCCGAACGTTGCGGCCAGAGCTCGGTCAAGCTATCGGACTATGTGTTCCCCAAGCCGTTGTGGAAACCTTTGGGCGAACTCGTCGAGGAAACAGAAGAGGAGGAGAGGGAGGAACAAAAAGGAGGACCAGGAGGAGGCCTCTTAGAAGCCTCTTGTGGTAATCTTCGGGTCTCCTGGAAGCTTCCTGGGGGCCTCTTGGAGGCCTCTGGGGGGCTTCCTTTGGCCTTTGGGAAGCCTTTGGAAGCTCCTTGGCAGGCTCTTTGGCCGTCTGAGGACATTCCTGGCCCATCCGACGCCGTCGCAAGCCATCTCGGGGGCCTCTCCGGGCCAATTGTTTGGCGCGTTTGAGGGCCGGTTTGAAGGTCATCTTGGGCGTCTCGGAGGTCTCCTGGGCCAGTCTTATTGGGGCTACCTCGAGGGCCTCTTGGGCCGTCAGGAGGCCATCTCTGAGGCTTCCTGTGCGCTCTCGGGGCCATCTTTGTGGCCTCCCATGGCCGTCTGGGACCTTCGAAAAACCGAAATTGAGCAAACGCCCAAACCCTTCAAACCCTAGAGGGCATCAATGATGTCGACCTCTGCGAGCCGTCCTGGAGGTCCTCTTGCATGCCTCTTGGGCCGTCTTGGAGGCCTCTCGGGCCGTCTTGGGTGATCTTGAGGCCATCTTGGGGAGACAGCTCGGCCCGTCTTGGGGACGTCTTGGGGCCATCTTGGGATCTCTTGGGGCCATCGTAGCTGTCTTGGAGACCAT